TGTTATATACCTACTGTTCTTAGAAACCTACGGAAATTTCCAGAAACAACAAAAAATATATGCGAATGCGCGGGGAAAGTTTTAAGTGTGTAAATTGTTGTAGAAAACTTGTATAATATAGAATAAAAGATATCTGGTACAATATTAACCCATGGAAGAACCTCGATGTCACTAAGTGTTTCTGGATTTCTGGGAGAAACGATATCTTTCGGAAATAAAAATCCCAAAGTTGAATAAACCTAAATGAAATATAAAATTGTTCGCTTCACACAAAGAAATTATATTGTAAATACAATTTTAAATCCAATATAATCATTATAAATCAGGAAAAAATCAGTAGCGTAGAGATTTATTCTTTAGTTCCTAAGAAAATTAAAAATGTCGATGTTTATTTTTATTCCTAATTGCTACATTGTAATTAAAGTGGCATTTACAACAAAAATAATTATGAATGCTTTTTGTGAAACGAGCAAATTTTGAGTTTTCTATTTTATTTTAAATGCAATCAACTGTGTAGTAATCTTATTTTAGAGATATATTAAAAACTACCTCAAATTTGATTCAAGATTCAAAAAAGGTGTGAAAATATTAAATTACACAGGCTCATAAAGAAAAAGTCCAAACCCAAGAGACCCACACAACGTGAAATTTTTGGGTGAAAACGCCGAAATATGGGTCAAAACCGATTTTTTCTTAAACTTTGTCAAAATGCATCATTTTAGTAGTATTTTGATGGCTGAATATAATACTATCGGTGAAAGAGTAACTACAAAAAACCCCATTTTTCGCCCATTTTTGCGTAGTGTGTAGGAAGAACGGGGAAGGTCGTCCAGAGGTCTCCGTGCCCTTAAATTGATCGTCATGAAAAATCTAGGTGAGCATAATTCGATTTTTCCAATATTTGTCCGACTTACCCCTACTTAAGGGATGGAAACCACCCCTAAAACAAGAAACGTGAGAAAATGGTCGATCAATTCTTGGTAAAAATTGGCGGGAATTTGAATGGCAAGGAAGAGATCAGGGATGTTCTTCCAAATATGGTCAAGGTGAAAAACATCCCCCGCGTGGGGGTAAAACCACCCCTATTGCCGAAAACCAGCGGCAAATGATGTTCCCTTCATGAATTGCCTTTTTTGTGCCACTCTTCCTTATAAATCCAAATGATATGAAATACATGCCCCCGTAATTCGTTCTTCTGTCGGATTCTGGTCAGTTACTCCTACTGAAGGGGTGGAAACCACCCCTAAAACAAGAAAACAGAAAAAATGGTCACCAAAATTTGGGTAAAAATTGGCGGAATTCCACATGGCAAGGGTAACATCAAGAATGCCCTCCTAAAAATGCTCAAGGTGAAAACACCCCCCGCGTGGGGGTAAAACCACCCCTAAAAACCACCTCTATTGCCGATAGCAGACGGGGAATGATATCCACTCCAAGAAGTACTTTGTTTCCCCCACTACCCGACAAATGATACGAAAGACGGGCCCCATAATTCGATCTTTTGTTTTACCCCCACCCGGGGGGTGGGTTTATCATGAGCAATTTTAGAAGGACATTCCTGATTTTACCTTTGCCATGTGAAATTCCCCCAATTTGACCAAGAATTTATCGACTATTTTCTCATTTTTCTTGTTTTAGGGGTGGTTTCCACCCCTTAAGTAGGGCAAAGTAGGGCAAGTAGGGTAAGTAGGGCAAGTCGGGCAAATATTGGAAAAATCGAATTATGCTCACCTAGATTTTTTATGACGATCATTTAAGCCCACGGAGACGTCTGTACAACCTTCCCCGTTCTTGCTACACACTACGCAAAAACGGGCGGATTTTGCGGTCACTCTTTACCTCAAACCTCGAGATTTCTCAGAAAATCCACTATTTGGGTGAAAACTTGCCCAAATATGGATTAAAACTGATTTTTTCCCAAATTTTGTCCAAATATATCATTTTCATAGTATTTTTGAGGCGCTGAATACAATGCCATTAGTAAAATTTACGCATGACGTCGATATTTCTCAGAAAATCCTCTATTTGGGTGAAAACTGGCCAAACGAAACGAAAATGATATATTTGGACAAAATTTAGGAAAAAATCAGTTTTGACCCATGTTTGTGCCAATTTTCTCCCAAAAATTTCACTTTTCTTCGAAATTCATCGGAAAGTCATAAATTTTGACTAAAGGATCGTGTTTAGCGTATCGAATTCCTTCGGAAACGTGTTTCTTGGGTTTAGACTTTTTGTTTGTTTTATTTATTAAATAAAATTAGTTGTTATTGAAGTACCACGTTATTTATGAACTAAATAACTATTACAGATTTGCATGATTTCTCTCAACTGTTTTCTGCAACTTGAGTAAACCACATGTTTTCTCTACTTTTAGACACTCACCCCAAACGACGCATTTTCGGGCATTTCTTTTGTTTATAGGGACATTTTTGATAATGTGTCGCTTAGAATCTACCATTAAAGTTTTGCCACAAATTTTACGTTAAAATTATAACTCTTTGATGAAATGAAAAGTTGATTACAATTCTTTCAGCTTTGAAGTAAACAATATTGGTTAAAATTTTAAACCTCGTTTTTAATAAATTTTCACGTAAAGATTTCAATTTAAGTCATACGTAGATATACTTCTGTATAAATAATAAAGACGACGCCGGTCAACACTTTCATCCCCCTGGTCTCCAATTAGTGTGCCCGGTTTGATTGTAATTATTATGGTACTACAGCTTCTAGCTGCCGGCATTACCCTTGTCTCCATTGTGTTGAGCTCTAATGGGATCATGTTACCTGCCCTACATAAGAGCGCTCCAGTCTATATAAATGTTGGATCAACCATCATGCTTTCCTTCACCCGTGCGAAAGGAAGTGGTCGGATTTTCACATTATTATTTTTGGATTTTTTCCATTTTTGCAGTGATTTTCTTTTAATTGAATTACTTTGTCTCGTAACCATTACTTCATTTGGTCCTTTCGACATGCGGATGTAGGGCATTTTCAGCTTGCACATTATGCATAGTCGATCGCTAATACAGAACATGGCGGCAATTTCAATATAAGTTTTGTTTGTAACCATTTTGTGCGATTTTGAAAGTTCATATCATCACGATAGTCCCCCGATTTAGATTTCGACTTAAAAATTACTTTCGCGTTTAATATAAAACCATTCCGAGCTCTTTGTTGCTTTCATGACACCAAAAAATGTTCATGAATGTTCGAAGAATGAATGTTCGTCTCATTCTTGTAAATTGGGCGACCCTCTTTCCGAAATTGTTTCACTCTTCTTAAAATAACTTCAAGTCTCAGATGTCATTACATGCAATTAATAGTTGTTCAATTGGTCTTTGTTTTGTACTACCGGAATCCTATAGTGTGCAAAAGCTTACCCTAACTTTCCCTACCACCATTATATCACATCTTAATAGATGTGAGGTATGAGTAGGTGTCGTTTTTTCTTGAAAATACCATTTTGAACGGTTCTTTATAGTACTTTTCGATCTAAATTTATTTTTGATCATTTTTTAAATTCATGAAGCCGGATTAGTTTGACAATTTGCGATATCTTTGTAATCACACTAATGCCAGCTGTCTTTGCAATTATTTCTTGTTCTTTTCCAAAAGAAATTAATACATGTAATTCCATAGTTGAAACAACTTTTCCTCAGACTGTCCAGTTTCAACGTTCAGATAGACAATAAGCTCCAGAGATAGTCTGGTAAGGTTGCTGTGAAGTAGCACATCTTAATTCACTCGTCAAGTGAAAAATATTTTTTATAAAGTTAATTAGTAAAATTTGGCATAATTCTTGTTAATTTACACCCAAAATGTATTTAGCTGCAGAAAAGTTAATTGTGACAACTGGCATGACAGCAGCACACTTAGTTTTTCTTTGATTGATTGCAATCATATACGGTGTGAGGTGAATGGTAATACATTTTATTTTTTTATTAATAAACGAAAAGTTTTAAAGGAAAATTGCTAATGAGGTAAAAGTTTCTAAAAGAACCAGTTTATCTAATGCGTATTTTTGGATATCGAGTTTTTATGAAATATAAAAGTTATGGCAAAAAATGGCTTGAGGGGTGGTTATTTCAACCCCTTTCGAGGGGTTAAAATTTTCGAAAAATAGTTGAAAACTCGCATCTGTATTAGTAAACAACCTGTAAAAAATTATATAAAATACCTCGTTCGGTTTTCAAATTACAGCCAATTTTCATAATTTTTTTGGAAACTTTAATGGCCCATATCTCTTCAGGGGTGAACATTTTACTAAGGCGATTTTTTGCAGATCGTGTTCTTTTGAAATGTAGATTCACTGGTATCATTTATGCTACTCCATTCAAAAACACCCTGTATACAACTTGGCAAACTTTAAAAATTTGAAACAGTATCTACTGTTCCATAGCTCATTTCAGAAAAAGAATATCTTGATTAAAAGATACACGAATGTCATAAAAAATCTCGCAATTGTTCCTAAAATCGCAACACGAGCAAATTGTGCATACATACATGTTTGAAAATTTGAGAAAATCTGCAATTTGTTGTAACAGTAATCATACTATAAATATCGAATTTTTACACAATTTGTTCCTGTCTCGATTTTAGGAACAATTTTGTAAATTTTCATGACTATGTTTTTCCGGGTAGAGGTAAGTAAGTCTGTTTAAGGTAAACAGTTTTGACCATATTTTCCTTATTATTAGAGACAGATCTACCACATTTTAAATCACTCTTATCTAGACAATTCGTGCAAATATAAAAAAATGTTTTATAAAGCAAACCCTTACTAGATTTACGTTGAGAAATCATGTTCATTTGTTTTTGTAACATAGATATTAAAAAGTAAAAAAGTTTCCTACAACTTCTACCCTCACATTTTATTTGTATCGATTTTTTATGAAAAATATAAAAGTTGATAATTATGGTGTACCACCCACCAAGTTATTCAAGGTGGCTCCGTCTCATTCTTTGTATAAAACATACTCTAAAAATATATATCTTTTCAGATTCATGAAAAAGCAATGACGGGACCCTGGAAAACCTGTCTGCTAATGAGCTTCCTAATTCCATCATGTATTCCAACACCCCATCGAGGTCGGCATCACCCTCCAGAACCTCACGCGGAGGCCTATCACATGTCAAGAGACCCCTTCGATCCCCACCGCGACTCCGAAGAGTTCAGGCGAGACGCTCCCGATGACAAAAGAGAATTTACTCGACGAGATTCCATTGATGACGATCCTCTGGTGGTTCAAACAAAGAAAGGTAAAGTCCGTGGAATCACTTTTACGGCAGCGACTGGAAAAAAAGTTGACGCCTGGTTGGGAATTCCCTACGCGCAGAAACCTGTGGGGAACCTGAGGTTTCGGCATCCCCGACCCATGGAAAAATGGGAAGCCGTTTTAAATACCACTGTTCAGCCGAATTCTTGTGTACAAATAATAGACACTGTGTTTGGTGACTTTCCAGGAGCCACTATGTGGAATCCTAATACTCCCCTCAGTGAGGACTGCCTTTATATAAATGTAGTAGTACCAAAGCCACGACCTACTAGCGCTGCTGTGATGGTGTGGGTTTTTGGTGGTGGATTCTACTCGGGAACAAATACGCTGGATGTATATGATCACAATATTCTCGTCTCCGAAGAGAATATTATACTAGTATCCATGCAGTACCGCGTTGCTTCCCTTGGATTTCTCTACTTCGGTACGTCTGACGTTCCTGGCAATGCAGGCATGTTTGACCAAATGATGGCCCTGCAGTGGATAAAAGACAATATCGCTGCTTTCGGGGGTAACCCCAACAACATAACCCTCTTTGGTGAGTCGGCAGGAGCCGTTTCTGTTTCTTTACATTTGCTATCCCCACTATCAAGAAACCTGTTTTCTCAAGCTATAATGGAATCTGGGAGTGCAACAGCCCCATGGGCTATCATCTCCAGGGAAGAGAGTCTCCTTAGGGGTCTTAGATTGGCCGAGGCTGTGGGCTGTCCTCACGAACGCAGCGATCTAAGTGCTGTCATAGATTGTCTCAAGAAGAAAGATCCCGTTGAGCTCGTAAACAATGAATGGGGTACGCTTGGAATATGCGAATTTCCATTTGTTCCCGTAATTGACGGCGCTTTTCTAGACGAACACCCGGTACGTGCGCTAGCCAACAAGAACTTCAAAAAGACAAACATATTAATGGGCTCCAATACAGAAGAGGGTTATTATTTCATAATATATTACCTAACGGAGCTATTCAGAAAGGAAGAAAATGTTTATGTGAATCGGCAGGAGTTCCTGCGTGCCGTCACAGAATTAAACCCCTACGTTAACGCCGTCGCCAGGCAGGCCATTGTGTTTGAATATACCGACTGGTTAAATCCTGATGATCCGGTTAGTAACAGGAACGCCCTCGATAAGATGGTGGGTGATTACCATTTTACCTGTAATGTAAATGAGTTCGCGCACCGTTACGCGGAGACGGGGAATAACGTCTACATGTACTATTACAAACACAGAACCGTAGCGAACCCATGGCCGTCGTGGACGGGCGTTATGCATGCGGACGAGATTAACTACGTGTTCGGCGAGCCCTTAAACCCTACCAAGAGTTATACGGCCCAGGAGGTAGACCTCAGCAAGAGGATAATGAGATATTGGGCCAACTTTGCCAAAACGGGAAATCCCAGCTTATCACCTAACGGTGTTTGGACACCGACTTTTTGGCCTTTGCATACAGCTTACGGCAGAGAATACTTAACACTCGATGTCAATTCCACTGCTACTGGCCGAGGGCCTAGGCTCAAGCAGTGTGCCTTCTGGAAAAAATACCTACCTCAATTGCAACAACTTACAGGTACGTGTCTAAATTTCAATTGCATGACTGAATTTTAATCAAATAATAACGTTTTCATACAATTGCTTTTAGCGAATATATGGAAATTGTGTGATCATTTTTATTTGTACAAGGTACATACAAGATGTCCATTTAGTTCTTCCATCTGCTTTACCTTTTGTTAGAGAAAAATTCTCGTTGTGGGGTTATTTAAACTAAAAAACGGCTCATTTTAAAATTAACGATTTTATACAGGGGGTCGTAAAACAGTATAACATATAAAATAATATTTTATCAAATTTCTTTTGGTCTGAAATGCGAAATGCATGTCACTAAGTTGTCGTTGTTTTTTAATATTTTTTAGTCATTAACAACTGTACATGCAAATTTCAATATCTCCTGTGTCATGGAGTTTATTTTCATAAAATTGTAGAGAGTTACTTGGCTAGGTCTAGGTGTTTCACACGAAAATAACACTAGAATAAAAACATTTTACACGGGGTACCCAATATTAATTTCTAAATGTCGATATCGTCAAGATATTCAATTTCTTTTCAATTTTTTAAATGGAAGACCCTATAACGTATGTAATACAGAATTATCTTTATTTTCATAGCAAATATACACAAACGGTGCCCAAAAATGAAACCTAGTATTCTTTGATTAATTTTAAGGAGAGTCTTTCCTATAAAGTTTTTATCTAGGACCCCTTGTTAAAAAGGGTGTTAAACTTAAAAAATATTTTTAATTTTTTTAATAATTTAATAATTAGAAATTCGGCGCATGTATTTATGTAAACATTGTCCAAAATCTGGGGCCTTTTTCTAAAATTTAGACGCTCCAGTGACGGACACACAGAGTATCGGTGGTAGCATCTAAATTATAGAAAAAGGCCACAGATTTTGAACAATATTTACATAAATACTTACATGTGCCCCATTTTAAATTATTTCACTCACTAGTTTCTAAATTATTAAAAAAAAAATTAAAAATATTTCTAACGAAGCGTCCTAGATAAAAACTTTATTGGAAACCGTTTGTGAATCACCCTGTATGCATATTTAATATTGGAATTTAAATATGAAAATTAGTCTTAAAGAAAATTACAGCGTATTTTTTTCAAAATTATATTCTCTGACTTGTTTTTTGTAAATGTTCGTTTAGTCTCTGAAAAATGTTACAATGAGAAATCTTCATTATCATTCTGAAACTGTCGTTTCTTTATGCAACTACTGAATTTATACATTTTTAGGGGAGGGTGTCTTTTTTTACTTTGACAAGTACATGGAAAAAGTTATACTAGGATTAAGATTAATCTACTTAAAGTATGTATTTCAACACTAACTTGATTTTACTTATTCCTCATGTATACGAGTAGTAATTTATTTAAAGATTTTTCTTATTCTTATATAATAAGATCAAATAATGAAAATTATTTTGAATCAAGAAAGTTTATTTAATATCGGGTGTGGTTATACTTCTTTAAAGAGATATTTTTATTCAGATAAGAATTACTTGTCCCAATAACATTTTTCTGAATAATGTTATCTTTGTTTGAACATTTTTTGACTTTTAAGTTCAGTTAAGTTAAAGCAAATACTGCAAATCTTTAATACAATAATATTGAATAAAGTAGAGTATATGGGATTAAGAATGAATAGAAAGTGAAATATATAATCATAATTCTTCATTTAAATAACATTAATGGTTCTTATGAATATACTGCATTTTTGTTTAATTAGACTAATACTTAATTATTTACTTAAGGTACGCTACGGAAAACATGTTTTAAAATAGAAATAATCAGTTATAATTTTTATACATAAACAACTTGATAGAAATCAATTTGAAGATAATTAAAAATGAAGTAATATTTATACCTGATGGATCGAGGATCTGGGAAAATTTTAAACTAAATTAAGTGATGTATAGTTTATTTATAATGTAACTTTGTTTTATATAAAAAAAATGCTCAAATATAAATTTTGCTTTTGAGAGTAATATAATAACTCTCAACAATATGCAATATAATAAAAAAACCTTTTCACATTGGTTGTTAAATACGGCTTATTTATATACACTTCATTTAATACCTGCATTTAAATTAAGACCATAAATGTAATATAATTTTATAGATTATTATACGGGGTGAGTCATTTTGATGATGCATATTTTGAAATCTCGGAAACACTAACATACAGAAAAACGGGTAAGTTTTAGACAATTCTGATGTTAATTACATATTATTTAAAAAAAAAAGAAACTTATTATAAAATTTTTGAAATGTGAGACCATATCAGTGAAAATTTGTATCAGAACTTTCACTGTGGACTAGGATTTTCCCCCACAGAGCCTAGTCCGAGAGCAACAAAAACAGATCAAAGATCTGGCGGCTACTAGATGTTAGTATTTAGGTGGTGGAACTCATTCATTTTAAGTATTGTGTGAGAGTACTGTAATGCATATGATTTAGCCGTTTCAGAAAGATACAATGCTTTTGCTAATTGGACTTGTCACTTTACGATATTATTTTTTTATTTCATAAAGCCATATGTTGCGAGGAAAGGAGAATTACGGATAGAAATGCCATTGAAGTAGTAAGCTAGTAGCCATAATACACAACATTTTGATAATTTGAAAAGGAAATTGCATAATTGGTGCGTCGATCAGTTTTAAATAATTTTATGATTAAAGAAACAATCTGAAGGCGTAAATTCCAGATAAAAATTCCTTATTTAAGTATTTATTTTACATTATAAAATAACCCAGTTTTACTGAAGAAAATGATTCATTCATGAACGTTACAAATGAGTACCTTTATAAAACCTTCACCAAGTTATGTAAAAAAAATATTTTTGTGTTATTGAAAATGAACAGAACTATTTTTAATTTTATGTAGTTTTTTATAGATTATAAGTTGCTTCAATTTCTAACAAAGTTAGTTAGCGGCCCATCTACAAGCCTTACGTCACTCACGTCAATATTTTTACGTATTCCTTAAAGGTATCAAATTAATTGAAAACAGACAAACTTTCAATAACTATAATATAAGAAATGTATCTAAATAACATCAAAGAAAACCACGTATTGAAATCATTAAATAATATTGCAAACTTTCAATTATCTCACTACAACACCTAACATTCCCAAGGAAAGATATCATTCTAAGTGACTTCAGAATCACCAACTTTATTGCCTTCTAAAGGTACACAAACCAAACTTACCAGATCGACCATAGTGTATCAGCCACTCACCCACTCAACCGATACCGATTTCTGAAAAAAATTACGTACAGGATCAATCCAACTAGACACATAGTTGTTTACAAAAGTGACAATTATAGAAGATTTGGAAGAACTTCATCGAAAGCCCATCACAGAAGACAAATATGACATTTAGATTTAGAGTAAAGGAAACCTTTGATAATAAAGTTCTGAAATCAACAACTCTAAACCTGACGGCTGACTCAAATATGATAGCGATATACTCGTATTTATTATTTGGCCTCATAACAACAACGTTCTGAAATTCTTAACGAAATAGAAAAGTACCATTCCATTTTGAGATGTTTTTGTCAAAAGGATATGAAATGACGTCACAGGGTTTCGTTACCTCAATACATGCATAATATAAAACCGCATGGAAAAATGTATTCATTATTACATTTCGCAATAATGACTGTGAAATCTAATTATCTAAAAGATAAAGGAAAATATTGACGTCACTATAGAAAATGAAAATAACTTTAAACTAAGTGATAGTGATAAGAAAAATATATGTAAGAATTTTTATTACAAGATAGAAACTATAAAAAAAAAATATTTATATCACATTTAACACATCAAAGATATTTACAACTGTGAAATCAGCTTCATATGATATTTAAATTTCTACCATATTCTGTTATAGTTGCATTTGTGACCTATATAATCCATTGGTTGCGGCAAACCTTCGAATGTACATAAAACGTACATCATGGGAATAGAGAATGTCTTTTTACGGCATATGTGCCCAGAATATTACTCATGCAATGATTTTGAAATGAACAGAAGAGGCCAAACCTTCCATAACTTTATTTTATAGGGCTTTTAGGACGTTAAACTGTATTATGTACGTTTTATTGATTGGCAATATAAATATTTATCTTCAATCTTAAATTACGGGGAGAGGCAAATAGATGTTTATGAAAGTTTAAAAGTGGAATTTATTATATTATATTACTGATAACAGCAGCACTAATTTTATTAAAAATAAAACTATTAGAAGAAAAAGATGCCCTGTGCAACTATATCAAAAAGGATCGTAGTCATATTTATTTTTTTCAAGACTATATTTCTTAAGTTTATGATATTTTTATGTTTATACAGATAATTAAATACTACACTCATAAAAATTTTATGTAAAATTACAAACTAGATCATTGGTTATTTTGACACCACAGTAGGTAATGTTAAATTACATCACACAAGTGTAAAGTTATATTAATCATGTAATTTTACACTATTTGTGTAATTCACCCAAAATGTAAATTTGCATTATCGATATGTGTATTGTGTATATACAACGTAATTTGACCAAGAAACAGGAAAACTACATAATATTTTTTAAGAAGAAGAAAAAAATCTAGGCATTATTATTTTGTAACATTTTTAGAAAGAATACCTTTTTTACATACATACTTAAATATTTTTCCAAAACAGGTGTCGGCATACTTACTTAATTGAAATAAAATGACACAAAATAAAGTTAAAAGGATATATTAATGTAGTAAATGACACATATTCTCTAGAGAAAAATATAGATTTATGATTTATTCCTAAAGATAAATAATAAGAATATTATTTAAACTAATTAAGCTTTCTTAAAATAATAGATTTAAATGAACGAAGTCAATAAAACTCAAAAATATATATAAACAATTTCTGTAAAAACCATCTCTACTTATTTAAAGGACAAAGCATATTCGCGAATGCAGCTAAGAGCTCGCCCTCTGGCGATGACAAGTGATACTAGCGAAACAA